GAGCGGCGTGGCCGACAGCCGCATCAGTTCGTACTGCGCCTCGGGGCTCAAGGGGCTGGCGGCGAGCGCGTGATGCAGCGCATGCGCGAACAGCGCGGGGCGCAGCGGGTTGTCGCGCTCACGGGCCCGAGCGATGCCGCGCAGGGCGGCGAAGTAGTTGCCGATCTGATGCAGCTCGGCCTTGCTCAGGTCCTCGGCCGTGCGCGTGACGTGAGCGATCGCGACGTCCTGCAGCGCCTGGTGTTCGTCGACGAGGCTGAGGCTGTCCAGGCCGCTGCTCATCTGGAAGCTGGTGCGCTGCAACGGGTCTTCGCCGCGACGGCCGGCCTGGAGCAGCTCGATGAGGCGGCCTTCGAAGTCAGCCGAAAAGTGGTTGCGGACCTTGCGCCACGCCCTCGCGCAGCGGGAAGTGCTGAGGGCTGGGCGTCGAGCTCGTCCTGCACGACATTCAGGAGCTCGCGCGGCCAGCGGGCCCGCTTCGGTCAGCGCATGGTCCAGCAGGTCGTGGGGGTGCAGGCGAGAAAGCATGGAAGGTGGGTACTGCGTGATGCGATTATCCGGCCGTCACTTCACGCACTTTGGCGTCGAGCCGTCCGAGGCGGCCCCCCGAACTCAATGGCTAACGCCACACTTCAAAACCTTTTCACGCTTTTCCAGACCGGCCGCTATGCCGAGATGGTCTCTGAGGCCAGAAATCTGTTGTACAGCCACCCGGATGAGGGGGCGCTGTGGAAGGCCCTGTCGGTCGGTCAGCAGATGCTCGGTGAAGATGCGCTTGACGCACTGACGCGGGCTCGTCAACTGCTGCCCGCCGATGCCGAACTGGCCGCCAATCTCGGCGCACTGTGGATGGCGCGGGCTGACTGGCCTCAGGCCCACGCGGCGTTGCAAGACGCGGTGCGGCTGCAGCCGCGCCTGGCCGGCGCGCACAACAACCTCGGCAATGTGCTGCTGGCGATGGGGCGCCCGGAGGAGGCACTCGCGGCCTTCGACACGGCCTTGGCCTTGCAACCGGCGTTCGCCGTGGCGCTGGGCAATCGTGGCCGTGCCTTGCTGGCGCTCGGTCAGCC